TGTCGGATTCTGGTTGGACTCGAAAAAAAATTATATGGGTTCGGGCTGGGACATATATTTTTAGGCCCAAATGCAACTCTACTGCAGAGTAAAGATCAGCAGATCAGTTGCAGGAGGAAGCTTCTCCTGCAGCTTGGGCTGCACACTAATGCACTAGTGTAGGAGGAAGTTTTTTTTTTTTTTTCTGTAGCTATGGGTTGCACACAGGTGCTCAATAATTTAAAATAATAATTTTAAATACAAAATGCCATGCCAATTGTGCACCTCATCCATCAATCAGCCAGTTGTGTGTCATGTCCAATTTCATATCGAAAATCCACGATTTAGCCAGTCCGCGAAAAACGAACCGCGAAGCAGCGAGGCACTACTATATATATATATATATATATATATATATATATATGAGAAATATATATATATATATATATATATATATATATATATATACTATTAAAAAATATATTTATAATATTACATTTGTGATTTTGACTGCTCCATTCCCAGATGTTTAAATCATTTTTTGTCACTGTATATGGATTTCAAAACCTCTGATGTGTGTGCCAGCTCTTGATTTTTCTGTATTTAGTCTAAAATCATCATTCAAGCTGTTAAGCTCAAACTTGCAATCTGTTCCCCACAAACAATGCAGTGATGTTTTTATGTTGCTATATCTATGAGATTTTAACAGGCTGTTTCTTTTACAAGAATTGGTTATCATCATTATCAACACTGAACATTATTATACTTGTAATAACTTAACGTGGTATTCCATTAGTTTCTTTCCATACTAGATATCAATGCGTTCTAAAATGTAAAGGGTACACATAGTTCAATGAGCAAATGATAAATAAACAACAAACAAAATCACCATCTGAGGTGGTGAGCATATTGTTTTAATAGGTAAGTAATGTTTCTGGGACTGTCAAATTGTGTTCGCTTAAAGAATAGAATGGAAGGTGGGCAAGCACGGATAGAAGGGAAATCAAGAGAACCTGAGATGGACAGGACATTCTTCTTGTGTGTGTTTGTGCAGAGTGGGCCTGTATGTACCTTGGCTTTATTTGGGTTATGCTTTGTGATTCCATTGTGGAGTGGCTCTATTGAGCTTGTATTCCCACCCTCCCACAAGTCCCTTATTTCAGATAAAGCTATCTGAATCAGCAGCACACCTTCTGCAGATGCATGTAAGCAGCTTACTGTGTGGAGGCTCATTCGGTGTTCCTGGAGAATTGTGACGGTTGCATTGTGTGGGCTACAAGGAGGGTGTGGCACGCTGGTAAATTGTATCATCACTTAAACTTACATTAAGATGTTCATGTCCTCTATTCATTTTAAACAGTGAGGCCCTTTTAGATTTGAAAATGCATTGCTGGACTTTCTACCAGTTGACAATCCCTCCAGGAGTGTATTTCTCTGAATAACGGTCATACATTTTTAGAACAAAATGTAAAAAAGAAAAAAGCTACATGAAAAGTTGTCTATTAAAACATGTTTTCACTGTTTAAAAAAAAATTAGCAGCATTTACTGCAGAGTCAAAATACTTCATAGGATGCAGTTTGTCACAGTCTTACTGAAAGATAAAAAAACCCCTGCAACATAAGTTGTTAATGTTCATAAATGTCAGATGTAATAATAGAAGATTTACCTGTCAAGAGCAGGCCTTACCTCCTAATCAGTGACAGCAGGGACAAAGTGTAACATTGCATTAAACTAGGATCATGTGCTGTCATGTACTGCAAACATGAACATCATGATGCAATCATTTTTCTCCAGATTATTTGAATATTTTTAAAGATGAATCTCCTGCAAGCCAAATAATTTGTGTATATAAGCTTATAAAACCTGTTTTATCTTCCGTTTATGATTCAGATTTAATAACCCCCAGGAAAATAAAAAATCTATTTTAGGCTGATTTAGTAAAGGCTAGACTTAACCTTCTGTGGTGTTACATTTTCTTCGTGGTCACATGTCACACGTTAGAAGATATCATTCAGTTAACATTTGATGTCACTGGCTTGCAGCTGATAGGATTTAGTCTGTGGTGAATGTGAGTCCCCGTTTGTGTGAGTGCGTGGTTGCAAGCACACCTGCACCTCTTCTGAATGCAGGTTTTTGAGCCTTAATAAGCCCTTACCCCCGCTCTCCGGATGTGAAGACAGGAGGAGAGAAAATGGCTTTTTTACACTTCAGTTTCATGCATATTTTCTTTGAGGCTAATGAGAACCTTAAATACGGTGCCAGACTTCAGGCTGCACTGCTGAAGGCTGACATTTTCACACACAGTGGCACCTTGTCACTGTGGATGAAGTCCCTCTACCTGGCTGCTGTGAGGTGTGTGTGTGTGTCTTAAGTGTGTATGTGTGAGAAATTACAAACCTGTAGAAATTATACTATTGATGTTGTTCACGAAACATGATAGGTATAGTTGCCCATGCATGGAATTTTTTTAAATATTTTTTTAAGCACAGCATGTTCAGAACTGAGCAGGAACATTGAACCTCACAATGCTACAGCTCCACTGTCATCAGTGTGTGCATTTAAAAAAAACATATCTACATATACTTTAAATTATTGAGGAAAATATGATTAACTTTTTCTTTCTTGTTTTTAGCATTTTGTTCTAAAATATTATTAAATCTGTATTTTTGTAACAACACAGATTTGTGGCGTACGTATTTGTTTGTGCGTATATGTGCACATGCTCATATTGTCAGCATTGTTGTCATTCTCGATGAGTCTTAAACAAATATTTTACCAGGTTTCTTACTGACTCTAAACCAAGAGCTCAGTCTGCTGTCTGTGTTTTTAAAGTGGTGACTGGATGAAACATGTTGCAGTGTTGCTGCATCGCACTGTCTCCGTGTCTAAGCATGTATGCATATATGCATTTAAATTTTGTTTGTGCAATATTTCTACAAAGCAAACAATATTATTTTCATTATTTGTTTGGCCTATTGCTGCCTCTGTAAAGCAACTTCCTGTTACTGTTTATGAAGCAGAATGCTAAAAGTTTTGTCTTCATTTTACGTTTCCATAGTCTAAAACACAAACACAATAAGGAGAAGCTACAGGGAAGTTGAAAAATGATGGTTTCTGTTTGCATGTCTGAATGTGAGCGTCTGCAGGTGTGTGTGTGTGTGTTTGTGTTTCCCACATGGCCCTGCTGCTGCCACTCACCGTAAACTAGTCTGCAGCCCGTCACAAACAGACGCTGACACACTCCCAGTTTAATGTGCTCATTAGGGACTGCAGAGCACACACCTAATTGATAGCCATGACACACAGAATGTACACACGCACATTATTGCAAAAAAAAAAAACTGTTTCCTCTTTTTTTTAATGCTGCAGTAGAAAACAAGGTTATACGAAGTCTTATAATGGGGATTCATTGTCAAGAACAACAACAACAGAAAACCAAAGAATGAAAAAAAGGACTAACAGCACAGAATGCATAACAGTATCTGTGCTGTTTACATGCCAATATTTTACACATAAAGATTCTTTTTTTTTAAGTATTTTTATTTTTATTTCCCTGGCAGATGTCAGTTACTTCAGCAAATTAACTGCCAAAAAATGTAGCAGAACTTGTCACTCAGGGGGTTAGAGTAACCATGGTTACCTTTCATGTCCCGAAAAGATAAAACTGCAGAGGGAAATTATAGCAGAGTAATTAGAACCAAAAAAGACCAATCAAAAAGGCATTCAACAATAAAAAATAAACAACCAAGAGTGCTTTTAAATTAGTTTACACATAAAATATCTTTATAAAGTAACATCTTTTTGTTCAGCTTTTAATATCTTTTTAGTGTTCATACAGGGACACACGTATAGCAGTTGCTGTAAAAAAAAAAAAAAAAGAATTCTTTAACCCTCTGAGCACAAGCTGGGAATAAAAAAAAAGATTCACCTTGTGTCACTCTTTTAGTACCTCCCATTTTTATACTTTATATTACATAACACACTTAGAAAACTATTGTGCAAAACAAGTTTGTTTATGCCTTCATATACTGTGCACCAGCAAATAGTCAATATCCTTTTAAATTAAAAAATATAAAAATGATGCATAATTTAGACTGGAATTAATCGAATGATTTTATTTACATATTTTACACAGACCTGAAGTAATATAGGTCCCTGATCAACAACTTAAAATAGTTTTGTGTGTGTGTGTGTGCATTTCATAATTTTGTAATATACAATGTTTGTGTCAAGACCTGTGAGCATTTGTCTGGAAAATATGAAACTTGGTGTGAAACTCATGACCTGAATGCTTATACGTTTAGAATTAGACCCAACATAGTAAATGTCTGACAGAAAAGAGCATTGCAGGCACAATGCACATTTATTTCTCACAGTAATAAAACAATAATAATTTCTGTCTTTAAACTTACCGAGTCAACAGTTTGGATTTCAGCTCTAGAAACGCTTTAATGTACTCACAGGGTTAAATTTTATATGCTGACTCGAGCATAAAAAATGGTATAGAAAAAAATGGATCATTGCCAGGTGTAAAAAAACATGAAAAGTGCACCAGATTTAATTATAAAATGCTTAACAAAACAATTTTACTTATGCATGCAGCTTATAACACCGCAGTGATGCAAAAATATAAAAGAAACTAAATCCTTTTACACAAACAATAGTCACCACATCATTTTATAATCTATTTGAAACCTTCATTTACTGTATATTTGAATGTATCAATGCACATAAAAAAGTATTTTCTCATCAAAGAAAATCAATAAACCAAGTGTGTGGCTAGAGTGAGTCTACATCGCACAATATTCAAATAATAATACTAAAAAAAAAAAACTGTTACAACACAAAAAGAAAAAAAAAATCATGTGCCAACACTCATTGCAGTAGTTTATTCGCTTCTTTGTGCAGTTCCATCACTTTTTAATCAGCCTTTCTTTTTTAATGTCTGAAAGACTAAAGAGAGACAGAGCAAGAAAGAGTGAGCCGTTTTGTAAAAGTGCTGCATTGTTCACAACCAGTGCTACTGTTTGTCCAGCTCACATACATACATGAGGTGGTCTTCAGGGGATTTCCCGTGAGTCTTGCTCAAGTGAAGCTTTACCGCATGCTTACTAGCAAAAGTCCGGTTGCAGAGCTTGCACTGATAGACTGCCCCAATGTCATCATCATCAGGGGAGGGTGATGGGGTTTCAGTAGGGGGCAAAGATGCTGTTAAGGATGAGGACAATGAAATAGGAAGTGAAGAAGGTAAAGATGTCTGTAACGAGGAAGGTAAAGGGTGGCTGGATAGGTGAAGATTAGAGAACAGTTTTTCAGATAGGCCTTTAGAGTGACGTCGATGATGGTGCTGTGAAATCTGGTTGAGGAGTTGCTCCCCAGAAAGCTTAGACAAGTCTCGCAGACGAAAGCCTAAGTGGGATTCCAGGTGGCTCACATAGGTGGATGGTGAGCGGATCTGTGAAGCGCAGTCGCTGCAGAAGAACACTGGGTGACCTGAATCCAAGTTTTTTAAGAACTTTGTGCCCCCGGTTCGCCTCAACTGGTACTTAACATTAGCTAGCCAGTGGGATATTGTAGTCATTGAGAGGCCTGTGAAGCGGGAGATGTGCATTCTCTCCTGCGGACTAAGGTCCGACATCATGTATTTGCCATCATTTGTTTGTCTTAAACTGGAAGCAAACTGGGCTTGTAGTATAAGGAGGTGTTGAGGGTTCCAGTTGGACTGGCGACCTTTACGTTTCTGAGCTGGAGAAACATCTTCTGTCTCCTCTTGTGTGGCACCTTCAATATCAGAACGCTCAGACTGGCTGGTAGGTGTGGAGGATTTGGACAATGCTTGACTTTCTGTCAGGTTTCTCAGCATGTCAGAGATATCTGAGAGGGCATTTTCTCTCAGTGGAGAGGAGGACATGAAGGAAGCTACTGCAGCTGAGGCTTTTGTCATTGTGGCAGCAGAGGATGGAGAGATTGATGGGGTAGATGTGGTAGATGAGAGTGCTGTAGAACCCAAGGAACCACCATTACTACTCTTGTCTATGTTTTTTCCTTTGGTGAGATCAATAGGTTGATCGCTGTTAAGATGCTGCTGGTAGAAGTATCGGTCTAAGTGCTCGTTGTTAGTCTTTTTGGTGTGTGCTGGTGGGGTGGAAGAAGCCACTGCTGCTTTCTCTGCCAGACTGTTGCTCATCTTGAATAGCATACTCATAGGATCAAGGGAAGGCATGGCCGGCTTTGCAGCCTTCCCCAGGTGGACGTTCATTACTGACTGCAGAGCACTGAGAGGGTTGACAAATGGCTGTTCTGGTGGTGGATGATCTGTGATGATGGTTGTGCTGCCACACAAAGAGGCATGCATGGGTGACATTGCATCAGTGGGTTCCACTCCATTTTCTACAGACCCTTTTGTAGAAATGTTACCATTTGAATCTTTGTGATTTGTTCCAGTTCCATTTCTTACCACCTCTTCTGTTACATCTGTATTCTCAGGGTTTTTACAGTCTGACGCCCTATTTTCTTTGGGTGACTCCCCTTGGGTTGAGTCTTCTGCCTCACTGTTACAGGGTGAGGGAGTCATGCATCTTAATGGAGAATCCTTCACTCGGGGCTCTCTCAATTTTTCCTCTACTTTAGACACTTTTTCTGACACTTTTTTGACTAGTTCCTCCATTGCATGGAAGTTGTTTTTAGGTAATGGAGAGGTCTGACGACTTGGTGGTGAGATCAATGGTTGACTCTTAGCAGTAGGAGAGAAAATCTCTCCTCCAGGGAACATATATTTGAGGGGAGAGCTCTTTCCAGAGTTACCAAGAGAGAGCTTCATTATGTTTGGGAGCTGGTAAGCAGCATGTATGCTAGGATATCCACCCCAGCTTGGAGCACCATTCTGGGCTTTGTTAATGGCTGATGTTACTGTGTTCTCCAAGGACTTGAGAATATCTAGACCCCCCTTTGGACTTTCATCCAGATCCTCTTCAGTCAGATAAGTGTATTTTGATGAAATATCAAACTTCTCCTCAGCCACATCTTCTCCACCTGCTCTTTTATCCTTGTTGAGGTTGCTGGCATTGTTTATAATGAAATCTTTTGTGCATTCCTCTTCCTTCTCCTCCTTTTTTATTTCTACTATCATTGCAGAGGGTGAAATGCTGGTCGGAGGAGGCACTGGGGCAGGTGGAGAGGAAAATGTTGTGGCAGCCAGTGGAACTGACTGTACTTTTTCTTCAGCAGCTAAGTTGGATGTATGAACTTGGGTGGGGGACTCCATAATTGGTTTGCCTTTCTTTATAGCAGAGTTGGTAACTTTAATGAAATGTCCTGTCACCATCATATGAGCAGTAAGTTCTTGCAGTGTGTCATGAGAGCTGCCACATTCCATGCATTTGAGAATTTGTGATTTTCTGGATTCAAACTGCCAGGCATAGCTGGCACCATTTTGGTGTCCATAACGGTTGTTAGGTGTAATGTAGGGGTTAGTAGCCTTTTGCAGAATGTCATTAGAGTCACTGAAGGAGGTGGGCTTAGGTGTGGTGCCTCCTGTTGAGTCAGGTGAGCTAGGTATATCTAGTTCAATAGGGGGTCTCTTTCGAACAGCAGATATAATTTTAGCTGCCACTGGTGTAACAGGTTCTTTTAGAGGCACTTTCTGATAGTGTTTTGTCTTGATCATGTGGACACTTAGGTCCTGAAGGGATTCAAAAGAGTGCCCACAGTACATGCACTTGAGGACCTTTTGTGCATCTTCCTTCCCCTCCATCTCTAATAAGGACCGTTTTCTGGGTTTTGACCAGCGTTTAGCACCCTCACTATCTGTCTCATGGTTATCATCACGGTAGTGGCCTGTCTCATTCATGTGTACTGTGAGTTCTACTAGAGTATCATATGCTGCGCTACAGTCCTTACAACGAAATTTGCTGGCTCCAGTGAATATAGAGCCATAAAGCTTGGAACTCTGACGGTAAAGCTGGACAGTACTAAATAGGTTAGGTTCTGTGGTAGTTGTTGGTGCAGCCATTGTGGGATGCTGAACCAGGTTCAGTCTGTTGTGGTGGTTCTGGGAAGCCTGTTGAAGAGTTTTAGCCATAGCTGTCTGATGCCAGTCAAATCCTCCACTCCCACAGCTGCTACTGCTGCTGCTACTACTGCTGCTGCTATGACTGCGAGGAGGTTTCTCTGCTGGTGGCTGAGTCAGATTCAAATTGAGTGAAGACCAATAGGAATTGCTCAGAAAAGATGTGTAAATGGCCTTCATCTTCTCAAGGCTATCAGCCACAGAGCTTGTTGCAGCTAAAAAGGCCTCATCTCCACTTACAGATGCATTGGCATTTGCCACAGCCACCATAGCAGAAGACAAGGATGGGGACAGTGCATTTGAAGAGTCTTTAGGAAGGAGGACGTCATCTTCATTTTTAAGTGAGGAGATTTCAAAATCAGACATTCTGTCACTGGATTCACTCAGGTGAGACTCACTGTCTAGCTCCTGGCCAGAAAAGTCAGCTGCATTGGGAGAGTCATGGATGCCAGTGGATCCTGGCCTTTCCTTGTGCAGGAAGTCCTTATCCTGGCATAGGAGCTTGGCAACAGGCTCCTCCCCTTCTTGAGCTGAGTCCTCTCCATCTATGTCCTCATCCAATAGGGCTGCTTCCTTCTCATCATCGGGGACATATGCTTGAAAAATAAAGAAAAAAACATGGAAAATATGTTAGTATTTTATTGATGTCTTATTTTACATTCACAAAGACTTTACTTTGATAAACAATAATCTGTGTCTCACTTTCTTACTTTAACAAATAATGTTTTACAATCAGATTCAAACCACCACCCTTTCCCTCTGTTCGTTTTCGAAACCTGTCTTTGTCCTGTACTGCTAAAAATAACCCAATAAGACAGAGAAAAGAAAGATATAGAGGGATGAAAACAGAAAGACAAGGGGGGGAGTGGGGGTGCACATGTCTCTTCAAACAGAACTTGCCACCTTATTCTTCTCAAGGGGCAACAGCTTGAAATTAAAACTAAATTTGAAATTAATGAAGCACATTCTGGCGGTGGCATTCGTTTCTGAAGTAATAAATTACTTGTATCAACCTCGGAGACAGCGGTTCCTGTCTGTCAATTAATATGTCTTACGCTTCTTCTGCAGAGTTTAATGCATTCCCTAACAGACACACTCGCCATTTAAATTAAGCATGCATTTTCACTCATTACACTGCTCAGCCATCGCCTCCTTGTAAATAAAAAAAAATGTATGTATGTTAGCCTGCGACAAATCTCTCCCTGCAAAAGCCATTTGCTTCAATTACCAAAGATTAGAAAAAAAAAACTTTAGTTATTATTTACAGTTTAGCTTCAGGGAAAGAGCTTGCAGCTTTCAATTTATATTCAAATCCCTCTAGTTTAAGAATAATACAATGGAAATCACACAAAGAAAATATGTTTCAAGACAAATCACAATCTCGCTTTTTTGTAAATCTCTGAATGATTTATTTTGGCAATAAGTCTATAAAAAAAACACAATCAGATTATACATGATTTATGCTCACACTGAAACTAGAATTGGGTTATT